CTATTATTTTTAAAACAAATGCTCAACTTGCCTTAGTACTTTTCTTTGCTGGATCTTGATTGTATAATTCTTCAATTCCTTTTACCTCTCTGATGATATCAAAAAAACAGTTATTTGCTTGTTTCTGGATTATGCGGTTTTTCTCAGAGGTCTAATTGGATTTGAATTACTTGGTCTTCCATCAGTAAAAGGGAACTCATAGGTTATTACATTGTTAATACATCATAAATATATGAATATATTTCTGAAACAATAAAGCAAGCTATTCATGCTTCTTATGTTGCTGCATAGTATTTTATATTACTTATGAATCATACTTTTATGTCATTGACCAATACACATTTGATATTTTCCCAATTTAGTATTTTTTTCCATTTCTAAAACAATGCTGTGCTAAAGCATCCTTGTATGTTCATTTTTATGTCTTGTTGAAATTTAACCACCTAGGGATACATGCATTCTAAATTTTATAATATAAATTGGCCCTCCAACATATATGCTTCTATTTTTACTGCCCCACTGGCATATAGAGAAATCATCCATTACCTAACAAATTTGCTCAAATATACCCCATCAAATGTTTTAATTTTTGGTGACAATATATGTGTTTAAATTCTTTATGTCAAGTTAAAAAATATTTAAATGATCAAAGTTTGTTTCTTCCATCTTCAGTCACATTAAGGTTTGGGTGATTTTCAAAGTATCTATTTTCTGTTTGATGGCTCCAGTTTTCCATATACACACACCAGTGTTTTTATTCATATTTACTACAGCTTTGGAATACAGAATTTGAAATCAAACTGCAAATTAAATGTTTCTCCTAAAAGTGACACATGTAGTCCAGTAGCTAATGTAAGTAAAATGCCCATAATTAAATTCAAGAAGGATAGGAACTAGAACCCTTCTGTGTATCTGTGAAGAAGATAATAAAAAAGTATCTAGTAACAAGAAATAGAACAAGATGAATACATAGTGTTCAAGAATGAGAAATATAAGAAGTCAGTTGACACCACAATTGGAAGGTATACACAATACACATTGACTACAATTTTTTTGTCAACAAGCAAACTTACTTGAGAGAAAATTGTATACTGTTATTATATTTGCATTGTTTTTTAAGTGTACAGTTATTTTTCCTTAATATGTTAATCCTGTTGTTCTACCATCTCCACCATGTATCTCCAGAAAAAGATTTTCAACTTCTGCAGCCATTAAACAATTGCTGTTACACATCTCCCAAAACCCTGAAAACCATATTTTAATTTCTGTCTCTAAATTTCACTACTAAAGGTATCTTATATTAATGAAATTATATACTATTTGCACTTTTTTTGTTTGGCTTATTTCATTTAGCTTAATGTCTCTGTCTTAATGTCTATATTGTACTAGTATCTCTTCTTTTTGTAAGAGTGAATATAAAATGCCACTGTATATTTATGCTACACTCTGTATATTCACTCATCTATTGATGATTATTTGAGTTGTTTCCATCTTTTGGCTATTTTGAATAATGTTGCTATGAACATGGGGGGACACATGTCTGTTCAAATCCCTGCTTTTATTTATTTTAGGTATTTACACAAAAATTGAATTGCTGGATTATATGGTAATTTTACTTCAAACTTTTTGAGGAATCTTCACATTGTTTTACATTGTTTTACACAGAGGCAGCACCATTTTAAGTTTCCATCAACATTTCACCAAAGGCCACATCCTCTCCGTTTTCATGGCAACATGTGATATTTTCTGTTTTATTCAGTTTTTCATTAAGGTCATCTTAATAGGTATGAAAAATGTATTTCATTCTGGTTTTAACTTGTGTTTCTCTAATGACTAGTGATATTAAATATCTATTCACCTTCTAATTGTTTCTTGGTATTTCTTCTTTAGAGAAACATCTAATCTAGTTTTTAATCATTTTTAAAATTTTTCATTTTTTGACTTGTTAAGTTTTTAATTGAATCTCAAAAAATTATCTCTTCTACTGAGTTGTTAATCAGTTACATGGGATTGTCAGAAAAATTAAGAAGCAGAATTAATTTTTTTTCTCAGATGGCTGCATATAGAATTCTTTTTGTTTGAGATTTAAAATTTTTTTTCTTGTGGAATTTTTCTTGAGTTATTTGATTCTAACATCCAGGAGTTTGGGTGGTTTCAACATGTTTAATTGAGGAATAAAAATAGTTAATGATTTTTTATGCTCTTAAAAAAAAAAAAAAGCTTATTCAACTTAAATTTAACATAAATTTAAAAAAACAGACTCAGGAGCCACTAGCAGGCAGGTCCAAGGGTGTTTCTGAGAGCTTGAGTCCACAACATGGGCAGGGAATATCTCTAGTAAGAAAAGGGAAATGACTTAAAAAAAAAAAAAAAAAGCGGTTACCCTTCAAAGTTTGCATTATTTGAACATGCTTTGTCAATTTATAGCTTGTGAGTGGCTGAAAGCTTGGCTTTCCTTTAACAGAGATTTGGCTACTTGTTTACAAGAATACATTTTCAATTTAGGTTGAACTATGTTTACATATTCAGTTATGTTACAGTTTGTTACACAGGGAGGCACCTATATAGTCCATATTTAATTTAATGTCATTTTTGCTATACAAATTATGTTTCTCACAGTCTGTATTACCACATATGAAATGTATATATGCTGATGCTAAAATATGCTTCCTTTTCTTTTCATATGTGTTTCTTCTTCAGACACTTAGAATTTTAATGAACTGAAGAAATATAGCTAACTAGTTACAGTATTGACATATAAGCTGTTAAAAATGGCCGCATGAATTCTGGCTGTTTGCAATCAAATTGCTATATACCATTGGTTTAACAACTTTCCTATTAAAGGTCATATTTGACACACACCAAGAGAAAAATGTTTCCTAAGATTCCCAGAAAACTTCGAACTGTTAGAGAGAAGTTCTTTATTTATCAATGTTAATGCCAGACAAATTATAGTGAGTTCCATTTGTGTGTGTGTGAGTGTGTGTGTGTGTGTGTGTGTGTGTGTGTGTGTGTGTGTGTGTAACTTTTAAATGCAGCCATGGACAGAGAAAGGATATTAATATTATATTACTAAATCACTAAGTATTCTCAGGCATTATGTGTTGTCACTCTGCCTGCTACAATTATCACCTATATACCCATGGTTTTTACTGGTACTTAAACATTTATGGAAAAGACGGAGAAAAACATATATCCATGAATGATTTCAAATATTGATGATAATAAAAAGTGAAAGAAGAAGGCAGTGTTAGAGTGTGCAATCCAGTACTAGTTTATATTCTGTGAAGATCAGTCTTGTTGAGAGATAGAGAAATAGTAGGGGACACAAATCATATTTTTAAGCCTATGTGTAAGAAAAATAAAAAGAAACACAGAGACAAGATTCAGAGGCAGGATTAAAAGATGGCAGAATGGCAGAAAAGCCAAGCTGCCAAGCTTTATTTACATCAATAATTTACTTTAGGTCATTAACATCATTAGTACATATACTTCATTGTATTATTAGGCAGATTACAGATTTAGCAACATTTGCAGATTATCCTCAATCACATACTAAGTTGAAATGTGTAAAGTTAGGAGCTTTGTGGAGCTCTCAAGAGAGTCCATTGTATAAAATTACTGTTATGTGGACAAGTGTAGGCTCAGTGAAACACTGTAGTTGTCTAACAAAAGAGTTCTTTTATTTCCAGGAGCTCTGTGCTTGAGATCAAGGTCGAGGCTGATAAGACTCTAACACAGAGCCTAACCATGAAGGACATTGCTATAGCAGCCAGGCATTCTGTGTCTTTGCACAGAAGTTTTCCCAGCAGCCAAGCATTTTTTGTCTTTGCACAGAGATGTCCTAGCCACCAAGCATAACACACTCATAAAGCTATCAGAGAACTAGATCCCAAACACAGAACCCCTACACTTATGAGATTGCTCCCAAAAGTATGATGAAATAATAAGATGAGCTTCTATTTATAAGGTTTATTAACAAATATTGATTGGTAATGCCAGGATATAAGTTACTTAAGACAAAAATAATAAATTTGGATAATACTATAGTTTTGTTTATTAATAACCAGTCTCCCTAATCTGATAGGAATATACAAAAAGATGTATAAAAATTGAAGCATAGGTTAATGCATTATTGGAGATGAATGTCTAAGAATGTTTATTATTATTTTTTCATATTCTATATTATCCCAAAAGAATATTACAATACATGAGACTTTTGAGAAAATGATTAATAAGTTATGAATATAGCAATAATTGGTATTTTCTAAAAAAATGTTTAAGAACAACTCATGTTAGATATAATTTTCCTTTTCTAAAATAAATTATTTTTTTCTATAAAGAAAATCTACCACACTGTATTTGCTAACCAAGATTCTTGATTCTTTTTTTTAATTCTTGATCATTTTAAAATAGCACACACCACACACATACATATACAATGAACATAAAAGAAGGTCAGAATCAATACACAACTATATATATTTCTCATTAAACTATAACCAATGTACTTAACATCCAAAAGCAGATTAGAACATTGCCAATTGTCAGAAGCCCCCTTAAATCTTTGACAATGGATTCCCTTTCCCATCTTAATCCAATCTTCATTAACCATCTACTTGATCTCTGTATAATTATGCTACAGTAACTATCATTTTTGAGATCTAAAGTATACTATTCTAATTTTTTTAAACTTTTGCAGTAGAATCACACAACTTTTTTTTTTATTCCTATCTTCTTTTACTCAACATCCTTCTTCTATGATTTGACCTTATTTGTTATACACCTGTAAATTATTTATGCTTGTTCTTACAGTCTCCTGACTATAGATGCCATGACTTACCTATTATAATGTGGATAAGCATCTGATTTACAACCAGATTTTGATTGTTACTAATGAAGCTCCTCATATTAAACTCCTCATACTAATGGAGGAGCTTCATTAGTTTAACTTCTCTTGTTAAACATCTCAAGTATGTTCCATATTGTAAGATCTGTTCACCTGGTCATCTATTGACAGCACGTATATACTAAAATTGGACTGATATGAAGATTAGCATCCTCTCTGCACAAGGATGGCCTTCAAATTTATGAAGCATTCCATACTTAAAAAAATCACAATCTAGGCTGGGGTTGTGTCACAGTGGTACAGCACTTGCCTAGCATGTGTGAGGCACTAGTTCAATTCTTAGTACCACATATAAATAAGTAAATACAATAAAGGTCTATCAACAAATATTTAATAAAAATATTTTTAAAAATTACAATCTATCAGTCTTCAAAGTGGATATACCAAAAATGTATGAAAGTTCCAAAGGCATATAAATATCAACAACAATGAGATTTTTTTTCCAAACTTTTAACCATTCTTGTGTGAGTGTAATAGTATATTAATGTGGTTTCTATCTTCATTTCTCTGATCAGTAAGGAGATTAGGGGTTTTCTTTCTTATGATTATTGGGCAACTAGATATCATTTATTGTCAAATACTTATTTTAGTCTATTATATAATTTTATATTTTATCTTCATTTATTGATTGTAATTTTTGTGTATAAAATAAAATATATTAAATAGAAGGAGTTTTTTATTTTGATTATTATGTAGCAACTAATTTTCCTCCAATCTATATACTTGACATTTAAATATTTATATTTATTTATTTTATATTATTAAAAATAACATTATTATGAAAAATATAAATCATAAAATTCATGGACTATAGATGCATGATTCAATTATTTTGAGTAAATTTATAAACTTGTATAAATCTCACTAAATACAGTTTCAGAAAACTTTCATCACTCCCAAATTTTCTTTAGGTTTATTCTTAGATAATTGTCATACCTACCTTAGTTACATACAATCACTAATTATTTATCTCTGTATACATTTATGTATGTAAATGGAATCATATAACATATAATCCTTGTCTGACTCTTTTACTTAACATACAACATACGAGTTTTACCCATGCCAAAGCAGGTATCAGTACTTCCTTTTCACCAATGAAGAAGATATGGATATATCATGGAGATATCACATGTTAAGACTACCAGCTGTTGGATATGTGGATTATTTTCACTATTATGAATAACATTGCTAAAAATATTTGATTTACTACCCATGTTTGTGTAAACATTTGTTTCCACTTCTTTTTGGAAGATTTCCAATGTAGGATGGCTGAGTAATATATAAAATTTATGGTTAAGTTTATAAAAAATTTACAAACTGTTTTCTAAAGTGACTATCATTTTACATTCCCACCAGCAAAGAGGAAGTTTCCATTTTCTTCTTATTTTCAATATTCATTGTTGTCTGTCTTTTATAACTGTATTCTATGTAGTCTGTATGTAGTGGTGGATGTGTTATTGTGATTTCTGCTTACATTTCCCTGATGACTCATGATATTGAACATTTTGTTTCCATATATTGCATTAGCCATTTATACACCTTCTTTAGTGAGATGCTGATTTCAGTATTTTATGCATATATTAAAGATGTCTTGTAATTGAATTATGAGTTCTTAGTGTGTTTATGACCACAGTCTTTAATCATGTATATAATATGCAACTTTATTCTCACAGTTTCTGTCATTTTTCCCTCCTGTTAGTGTGTTTAGAGCACAGAGTTCTTAATTTGAATGAAGTCAGTTTCATCAATTTGTTCCTTTATGAGTCAGGCTTTCATTGTTATAGTGGAAAACATTTGTCCGTCTCAATGCCATCATGGTTTTCTTCTATGTTTTACCAAGAGTTTCAGACCTTTGGCTTTTACAGTTAGGTCAATATTCTATGTGTGAATTAGTGCATTTTTTTCCTACTCTAAAAGATCCCCACAGACAAGGTAATTTGTTACTATCAGAAGTTTTTATGTAGTGAGGGCTTTCATGCTTCATTATCTCAAAAGGGAAGGTGGAAGAACAAGAGGGGGTGATGTTGGGAGTCCAAGACTTCAGTTATTAAAAAAAAAAACTGCTCTCCAGAACACTAACTCATTTCTGAAAAATTAAAGTCACCTTTAATCAGCCCTTCCTCCCAACACCCTTTTACTAGGGGTGAAATCACCAACACATGGAACCGGGAGAACTCATTCAACCCATAGCAGTGTGTTATAGGGATCCGAGTCCTTGTTTGAATGTAAATATCCATTTGCCTCCACACTACTTGTAAAAAGTTTGTCCTTTCCCCCTCAGCTTTCATGGCCCTTTTGTCAAAATTCAATTGACCACAAAAATGAGGCTTTATTTCTGGACTTTCAACCCTTTCTCATGGATATTTATGCTTATTCTTGTGTCAAAATCAACCCTCAGTTTTGAGTAAATTTTGAAGTTGAATAGTTCAAGTCCCAAATTTTTTTCATCTTTTCCAAAATTAGCTGGGCAATTTTGGGTCCTTTGCATTTTCAAGTACAATTTTGGATCAGTTTTGCAATTATTAGCAAAATAAGAGTAGCATTTAGAATATTTGTTATTGTGATTACATTGACTTACAATTAATTTTGGGGAAAATATGTTATCCAACCCATAAACATGTAATGCATCTACATTTGGTTTCTCTAAATCATGTTTGCCCCTTTTACTGTATATTTTACATTTATTATAAAAATTTATTTATACATATTTTGACTTTTTGAATGTTAGTTTGACTGAATTTGTTTTCTTAATGTCATTGTCTGCTTGTCATTGTTAGGATAACTAATTGTTATCTGTATGGTATTATTTTCTGAGATTACTGAACGTTGAGTTCTAATAATTTTATGTACATGTCTGTATATATTGCTAAAAGCTATAGCCCAGTAGGACTGATGCATGGCATTTTTGGTTGAAAGGTGATGCCAGCAAGCCATTGAGATGATAATGATTATGTTAAGATGTGCATTCAATTGGATATTAGACCCCTGCTGTCCGCCTCCAACTGCTATTTTGGAGCTCTCAAGGTGACTCCCGGAGAGTTCCCATTGGTTGGGGAAGTGCAGTAGGAGGGATTTCAGGAGGAGGGACTTCCAGTTGGTGTGGTGTGTCCCAGGAGAAGGCCGTGTGTGGCATTCATGGGAGTTTTGGAAATAAAGTTTGTTCCTGCTTGAGTGGCTCGTGATTTTGTGCCCAGCCTGACTGCGGCAATATATGGCATGAATTGCTGGAGATTTGATACATTTAAAATTCAAAATTTTGGCATTTATTAATAAAATCAATTTATCATCATCGTTTTGTTTTGTTTTGTTTTTGTTTTTGATGAAAGAGAACATCCTCATCTTGTTCTAAGGGGAAATCATTGATACATTCACATCCCTCAGAATGTGTTTACAGTGTTCTGAGACTGAGAAATTTTCTCTCTATTGCTAGTTCACTGAGAGTTGAATGAAATCTCATTTTATAAAATGCTTTTCTTCATCCATTGAGATTATAAGGTTGCATTCATTCTTTATTGTATTATTATAGTGTATTTCATTAAATATTGTTTATATCTGAAATAAATGCTGCATTTGTAAATGGTTTATATTTCTTTTGATAAGATATTGGATTTTATCTGTTGATATTCTGTAAGTATTTTGCATGTACATTCATGTAGGTTGCAGCTCTATAATTTGTGTGTTTTTTGATGTCTTTTGCTTAGTTTTAGTAACAGGGCAATATCAGCTTTACAGAATGAGTTGAAAAGTGTTCCTGCATTTCTTGTCTATTTATTATTTATTTATTTCTGAGAAAAGGTCTTGCTATATTGTCTAACCTAGTCTCAAACTCCTGGGCACAATAAATACTCCTGCTCCAGCCTACTGAATAGCTGGAAATATGCATATGTGCTACTGTGCCTTACTTACCTTCTTTATTTTTTTGACAGAATTTCTGAAGATTGTTGGTAATCACTTCTTGAACTAAATATTTGCTAATAATTACTGGTGAAATCATGTGACAATTCTTTGGGGAATAATTTTAGTTAATAATTAAATATTTTTACTTGATATAGATCCATTTATAGTCTCCATTTCTATTTGGAATAGTTTTGATAAGTTGTATTCATAAATATCTGCTTTATTTTATGTTTTTAATTTGTAACAATGAGATTATTTAATATTTTATTCTATAATTCTTTTAATTTTTATAAATTCACTGGTAATATCATTTAGTTTTGTTTTGTACATTTGCATCTTCTCTCTTTTTCTAGAGCAATATACTTAAAGATTTGTGAATTTTGTTGCTATTTCCAAAGAATTTTTATTAAATGTTACTCTCTATAATTCAAATGATCATATTATATTCCATTAATGTACTGAAGTATGTTTTCTGTCATTTAAATGTTACATCAACTCTTCTTCCCTAGAATTAATATAATTTGAAATGGATTTCTAGTTCTTCCTGTTTTATTTGTTGTCTTCTACTTTATTTGGATTTATTTGGCAGCACTTTTTAAAAATTATTTTAATTATACATGTAGGCTTTTTTATTCTTTCATTATATTTCTTTAAATACTATATGGCTTTTTGTTGTTGTTGTTTTTAATCTAGTCTGGATATTTTGTCTTTAAATAGCAAGATTTAGTCCATTTGTTGGTTTATTTATTTTTTTTCCTTTTTAAACAGGATTTTTGAGGTATAATTGGCCTGTAGTAAAATGAACATTTTTAAGGTTTAAAGTTTAGAGAGTTTTTACATATGTATGAATCATAATAATCAAGATAAAGAACATAGAGATCATTCCTTAAATTTCTCGACCCAGCTATAAAGTCCACCCTTATTATAATCATAGGCTCTAGTCACCAACAACTAGTGAGCATTTTTTTTTGTCAAAATAGTCAACAATTCTAGAATTGTAGTACATGAAATCATAAATTATGTATTATTTTCATGTAATTTATTTTGCTCAGCTTAATTACCTTGATATTAGTTTACATTATCACATGAATTTAGGATTCATTTTTACAGTTATATAATTATCTATTTCTTTTAGCTATTATATATAAGAATAGCTTCTATGGACATTCATGAATATGTTTTAGGTCAACATATATCTTCACTTCTCTTACATTGTTTGGATTGCAATGCCTGAATCATAGTGTGATATTTTCCAGTTTTTACTATTATATACTTTTATATTACTTAATGTGTTGTGATAC